ATTGGTCAGATGAAACCAAAATAGAACTGTTTGGTAGAAACACAACTCTTCGTGTTTGGAGGAGAGAGAATGCTGAGTTGCATTCAAAGAACACCATAACTACTGTGAAGCATGGGGGTGGCAACATCATGCTTTGGGGCTGTTTCTCCGCAATGGGCCAACATAACAGCAACAGTGTGTGCCAACCTTGTGAAGACTTACAGGAAACGTTTGACCTCTGTCATTGCCAACAAAGGATATATAACAAAGTATTGAGATGAACGTTTGATATTGACCAAATACTTATTTTCCACCATAATTTGCAAATAAATTCTTTCCAAATCAGCCAATGTGATTGTCTGGATTTTTTTTCTCATTTTGTCTCTCATAGTTGAGGTCTACCTATGATGCCAATTACAGGCCTCTCTCATCTTTTTAAGTGGGAGAACTTGCACAATTGGTGGTTGACTAAATACTTTTTTGCCCCACTGTATATATATATATATATATATATATATATATTTTAGCGCTGCACTTTCCTATTTATCATTGATGTTCCAGGGTGATATTGGTTACCTATTTTGTGCCTAGCAGCTTGTTCCTATATTGAGGCGCTCGCATTTCTGTTTACTTATCTCTAGTATTTAATGCTTGGGTGCACAGATGGGATTTGAAGGGCCTTTTGAATCTGTGGAAGATGCCATTTTTTTTTTTTCCAGCCACTGTTAAGAGATTTACAAGACTGCAGCAAACCAGTCCAGCCACTGGACAGTTAGTCTCAGTACATGGGTAGCTGTAGACAAGTCTTTGACAGCTGATAGATTATAATATTAAGAGGGTCCTGTCAAGATAGAAATGTGAGAGTTGTCACTACTGATTTGTTTTCGAAGGTGCACATTCTGAGGATCCTTATCCTTGCTTTACTATTTATGAAATCCCTGACCCCTAAAGAAATATGCAGCGGTGGGACACCTGATATAGATACATGTTCTGTGTCAATGACAAACCAAGTTTCTCTTGACTTCTTGACGCTACAGTTGAAATACGCATGTGTTTACTGGTTTACCTGCCAGAGTATCGGCCTCACCATTCTTGTGATGCTCGCACCTCTACTAGTAAGGAAGATCACTCTATAACATCCTGGTTTAGTATTACTGCTTCCAAGGCCAGCATCCTTGGACAAAGGTGAAGATGCTGATTTGTATTCAACAGAAGGCAGAAAATTGACAAAGGAAGCATTGTTGCTGAACCAGGTAAAAAAAAGGGTGTAATTTTTTGCTGTGCAGTACAGCAGATGTGCATAAACCACAATACTGACCAAATCAAATTACAATTTTGGCAGGCAAAACAGTATACTTCTATATGTAAGATAACATAAGGATACCAGCGTTTGATGTAGTATTCAGCTTCAATTCACAAATTTCTCCCACAGTACTCTTTTCTGTCAATAGTTGTCTTCAGTCTGATGGCCAGCATCATTCATCCTACTTCCCCTGAGCCCAGATTATCCAGTCTCAAACCACTAAGTGTTCTTTTGTGCGAGTTTAGTTTTACATTTTCTCATAATAGGTTAAATTCACACAGCTTTTCACAGGGCTAAGGATATTTATTTTTAACCAAGTGACTTATCTTTAAATCTCATTGGACACAACTTAAAGTGGAACTTCACTCTCTCAATCAACATTGACTATTATGAATCTTTATGCTGATAGCATTGATAAATAGATAGGAAAGTATATCACATTTACTTGTTTTAAACTGTTTTTTACATTTCTTTGGTTACTTCCTGGTTTTCATGCCTAGGCAAATGACTCCCTCATACATCCCAGGAGTCTTCAGGAGGGAAGAAAGGCTTTTCCCAGCTAAGCACACCCTCCTGCCTGCATGCCTGATCTACCGGCAGATGGATTCCAGGAATTGAATGCTACACGAATCATCTGCTCTTACTCAAGATGGCCATGGCCAAACATGCTAGGGGGTTGTTCTCTAAAGTGATTTCTCAGCAAAATAAAGCATGGAGACATGGATGGATTGGTGTGTTTGCTTTGAGTAATAAAAATTAAGTAAAGAGAACTTTTGGTTTCTGGTGCTCAGATACAGTGTAGTTCCGCTTTACCTGTCCCCTATTTTTAAATAAAGAGCCTTATCCTGGTGTTTTAGTATAATAAAACATTGAGCACCAAGATCTGTGTTGAAAGTTCCCAGTGCTGTGCCAAGAAAACTCTCTATTAGATGAACAGTGGTGTATTTTGATTTTGTGCTGCCCTAGGTAAGACTAAAATCGGGTACCTCCCCATCTAAATTTGTCCCACCCCTTCCTGTTTAAGATCCGCCCCTTCATCTATAAACGCCACCACTTCCTCTTTAGGCTTCACTTCTTCCTATTAGAGCTCCACCTCTTCTCCTCTATAAATTAAAAGTGGATAACGAATGCATATATTTTGCCCCATCATTGGTGTCAGTGGGAGGAATAGTGCTCCATCATTGGTATCAGGGGGAGGAATAGTGCCCCATCATTGGTGTCAGTGGGAGGAATAGTGTCCCATCCTTGGTGTTAGTTTGGGAGTAATAGTGCCCCATCATTAGTGTCAGTGTGGGAGGAATAGTGCCCCATCATTGGCGTCAGTGGGAGGAATAGTGCCCCATCATTGGCGTCAGTGGGAGGAATAGTGCCCCATCATTGGTGTCAGTGGGAGGAATAGCGCCCCATCATTGGTGTCAGTGGGAGGAATAGCGCCCCATCATTGGTATCAGTAGGAGGAATATTGACCCATCATTGGTGTCAGTGGGAGGAATAGTACCCCATTATTTATGTTAGTGGGAGGAATAGTGCCCCATGATTGGTGTCAGTGGGAGGAATAGTGCCCCATCATTGGTGTCAGTGCCAGGTATAATGCCCCATTATTCGTGTCACTGACACCAAAGATGGGGCACTAGTCCTCTCACTGACACCAATGATGGGGCACTATTCCTCCTACACTGACACCAAGGATGCTTACATTGCTGACCCCTCCTCCAGGCCAGTCTCCCTCTCTCTCCCATCCACAGCCAGCATACCTGCAGCAGCACCCTCTGCTCTCACCAGATCCATCCACATAGCACAGACACTTACCAATCAGCTGTCTTCCTTGTCTGGCCGTTCTCCTCCTCTTCACTGGCTTCGGTTGCTCCCTCACACCGATCAGCTTCCTCGTGCTGCTGCTCGGCTCCTTCTCTCTGCCTGTGTGCAATCTCTGGCCTACAGATCCGGCAGCCAATCACCGGCGAGGAGGCAGAGCTTGCAGAGGGAGGGACAGGCTGCCATAGGCTGCCCAGTGATCCCGGGGGTGTGGCCAGATAACAGAAGCTGGTTGGCATGTCACAAAGGAGTAGGAAAATTCTCCCCCCTTCGCGGCATCTGTGATCCACCTGGGAAATGAGTAGGACACCAGATACCCTCTCCACCCCTCCTCCAGCACTGCCTTCGTGGATCGGATCGAAGTGGGACACAGGTAGGCTACATAACAGCCCCTTTCCTAAGTGTCACAACTGTGGGAAGGGGCGGCAACATGCTGCCCCCTGAAAAGTGCCGCCCTAGGCAAACGCCTTGTTTGTATCACGACAAATACGTCCCTGAAGATGAAAGGAATATACTGTAGATTGTGCATATTCAGCTCAGTGTACAATTCCTGGCATGCCTTGAATCGTACATGACCTAACTTCCATGTATATGCGCGGGAGTTATTTCATCCAATAATGGCTAATCAAAACAGCTCAAAATGCCGAACCAGAAAGAAAAGTAGATTCACTAACATCGCATCACTGGATGGGAGGTAGGTAAAGTGGACTTCAGTTCTGCAGAGCAACCGATCAGCTTATAGTCAACTGATTTTAGCAGACTGAATTCCAAATAGTTGATATAAATTTATTTTTAATTAAAAGTTAAAGTGAAACTTTATCCATGGCAGCTTGTTAATAAATAATATTCTTTAGCAAGGTACATACATTCCACATTAACAATTATGCAAAATTAGTGTGTGCCTCCAGCAGTGCTTTAATTTTTTCTTGCTGGAGGCTGTAATTTTGCTGAAGCCCATAGCCCCTGAGCAGCAGTAAATCTTTAGGTTGTCAGAAAATCAGCCTCTACAAATTTGGCAAAGTGCCTAAAAATAGAGAGCAACTGAGCATGCGCAGAGAAGATTGAAACAGTGTATTACTAGATTAAACAGTATAGACGCTTATTTTTAATGTTTTATATAACTATACTGCAAAAGGGGCCAGCCTGAAGTGATCTAGCACCCTTGTGAATGTTAAATTAGATATGTATGAAAGCAGGAATAGAACTTTTTGCTTTGGATAGGGTGGAGAAGATTTAGAACCTTTTTTTATACAATAACAAATTATAGAAGTGAATATGTGTATACATTTTATAGTTACAGCAAAAAGTAATTTAAAGGACAACTGCACTTTTGTTTTAAAAATTAAATTTCTTAAAGTGGAACTTTAGTCATTAAATTTAAGTCTTGCTAGATCACTTCAGGCTGACCCCTTTTGCATGTAGCTATGTAAAACATTAAAAATAAGTGCATATGCTGTTTAACCACTTGCCCTCCAGAGGATTTACCCCCCTTCCTGACCAGGCCATTTTTTGCATTATGGCGCTGTGTTATTTAACTGACAGTTGTGCAGTCATGCAACGCTGCACCCAAATTAAATTTACATCCTTTTTTCCCCACAAATAGAGCTTTCTTTCGGTGGTATTTGATTGCCTCTGCGGTTTTTATTTTTTACGCTATGAAAAAAAGAACAACAATTTTGAAAAAAAAAAAACAAACTTTTTGCTATTAAACATGTCCAGTAAAAATTAAAAAAAAATCACATTTTGTCATAAAATTAGGCCAAAATGTATTCTGCTACATGTCTTTGCTATGAAACAATTCCAATATGTGTAAATTAACTGGTTTACGTGAAAGGTATAGTGGTTAAAATGGCGGTATATATACTGGAATTTTTTTTTTTTTGTATTTTTTTATTTTTACTAGTAATAGCGGCGATCAGCGACTTATAGCGGGACTGCGGTGGGCATTCTGACACTGGGGGGGAACTGACTTGGTGTCACTGACATCCCCAGTGACACCAATACAGTGATCAGTGCTAATAAAAAGCACTGACACTGTACTAATGGCACTGGGCAGGAAGGGGTTAACATGTGGTGCGATCAAAGGGTTAACTGTGTGCTGTTTCACTGTATGCACACTGTATGGCTCTGCTATGCAGAGCCAAGCAAAACAGTGTGCAAGAGCTGACAGGGGAGAGAACTGTATTGTTTACATACAGTTCTTTCCCTCCATGGTAATGCTCCTTGACCACCGGGTGCCAGCGAGTAATCACCTGCCGGGACCCGGTGATTGAAAGCCAAGGCCGCAAACAGCGGCATGGGTAGGGCGCTCGTGCAGCTCTTGTGCACCCCCTACCTGGAAATGCAAAATCAGGTATACTGTATATACTGTACACGTGATTTTGCACACCTGTGCCGCCCTATAGCAGTATTACTGCTATAGGGCAGACATGAAGCGGTTAACAACCAGTAATACACTGTCTCACCCTGCTCTGCACATGTTCAGTTCTCCATTTTTAGGCAGTGTGTCGAATTTGTAGAAGCCAATCTGTTCACAATCTAAAGATTAAAGTGGAACTAAACCTAACAATTTAACAGTTTAAAAAAATAGTTACATTTCCAGCATGCAACTGTCACATTTGCTTGTGTTCTCAACCAAACTGTGAAACTAACACTATGGCAGTTGCAGATCAAACAGATGTCAGCTTCCTTGGCTGAAAAGAATAGGAGGGTTTAGTTCTGCTTTATCTGCTGCTCAGGGCTCTGGACTTCAACAAAATGGCAGCCTCCAGCAAGAAGAAACAGGAACAATGCTGGAGGCAATTTACAGCACACATTAATTTTGGTTGCATAATTATTAATGTAGAATGTATGTTCCTTGCTAAAGAACATTATTTTTTTATCAATTGTTATAAGTATTTAGCTTTAAATCAACCAAAATGGTGGTCGCTTACATCATCACTAAGGCCGGCCATACATGGGTCAATTTCTGAACAATTTTTTGTTTGAAAATCGGACCTAAGAATAATCAACCAATTTTCCCTCTGTTAGTGGGGCAATGGCACCAGCCGATTTTCGCGGTTCCTCCCCATTTGTTTATCGGGCATGTTGGAAAATTCATGAAAAACAACCAATTTTCTAAATCATTAGTGGCACCATCGGATTACAGAACGAACAACGTTTTCAATCGAAAAATCGTTTGGAATTCAACCCATGTATGGCCTGCTTAAATGGCCATCCAGGCACCTGTGCATGAATGAGCACTCTCCTGTGTTCTACAATGCCCAGCATTCAATGGACCTGAGGAAGCTCACTTATGCCCGCTTTGCCGCTGTCCCACTCACCTGTAGCTGACTGATGGACACAATGCCGAGATTTAGCAACATACACCTGCTCTACCACACATTACATGCTATCATTATACATTTTTCAACCAACCGTCTCCTCCTCTATTTGTCCCACACACCTGTAAGTCAGTTGCTTGAAATGTGAACATTAACAAAATTTTGCTTGCTAAGGCCGGCCATACATGGGTCGAAAAATCGACCGATTTTTCATCCGAAAATCGGACCTAAGAATAATCGACCGATTTTCGTTCTGTTAGTGGGTCAATGGCACCGGCCGCTTTTCGTGGTTCCTCCCCTTTCGGTGATCGGGCATGTTGGAAAATTTGTGAAAAACGACCGATTTTCGACTCAGTGATGGTCAAATCGTAAGATCATTTTTCCAAAAAGAATATGCGCATGAGCCGTGACCTGGAAGGAACAGAAGTTTCGCATGTTATATGGGGTGAACTTTATGACTTGGTCGGCTGATATTCGAAATCAATGATGGCACCATCGGATTACTAAGTGAACGATGTTTCCGATTTTCGGACGAAAAATCATTCGGACTTCGAACCATGTATGGCCTGCATTACTGAGTATTCTCAGCTTCACCTTTATATTGTGAATTTATTAAGTTTGCTTTGCTCATAACAATATTGATTTTTAAAAACAAAGGTACAGTTGTCCTCTAACCGCCTCAATACCTGCATGCTACGCCACCTTCATTACCAGGCCATTTTTTGTTTTTAGTACTCGGATAGTTTGACTGACAATTACTTGGTCATGCGACACCGTGCCCCAAATGAATTTTACATATAATTTTTTTGAGACAGAGATTTCTTTTGTTGGTATTTATTAACCAGGTTTTTTTTTTACTCTATAAAGAAAAATAGACCTACTTTGAAAAATAAAACTTTCTCCCACTTTGTGTTATACGATATAATAAACAAAAATGATGGGATAGTACAAAACACCCCTCATAAAAAAGTATTTTTGTAAAGTACATACCGCAAAGTTATCTAATTTTTGCCACAGCTTTTCATAAATAAAGAAACATGTTGGTTTTGAAGTAGTTAAAGTGTTAACAAACCCAGGACCCTGCATTTACTGCATCCGGTCTTCCACAGTACACAGAACATGAAAATGCCATTTTTTTAGTAGATATAAACTTCTAAATACCTTTTCTCATCAGCAGTTAGAGCAGTCTTGTGACTTCTGTCAGTGTCCAGCTTAGCACTGGTTAATCTTGTAGGAGGAGTTTTCATTCTCTGACTGTCCTATGAGGCTGCATAACCCCTGACTCTCTGTCTGGACAGTTCTGATTGGCCCTCCCAAAAGAAAAAAAAACTTCAGTAATGCACACTAGACAGAACATGTGCAGGCTTGCCACTGCTGCTCTGTACTACGGCAGATGGATTGGGTACGGTAAAAGAAGGGGAGGATCAGAGAAGAAAGGATCAAAAAGCCTTTTTACACAATGCAGAGGATTAACACCTTAGGTTCCACAGTGAGTAAAACAAACATGCTTTACTACATATGCAGATTGATTTTACTATTGTGGGTTTAGTAATACTTTAAGGCAGGGCTTGAAATTTCCACTCATCTGCTCGCCAATGGCGAGTGGAAATTATGGTGGGGGTGAGTGTGTCCCCCAGGGCCGTCTTGCTGAACAGGCTTGGAGCTCAGGCCGGATCCGTCATTGGCACTGGGAGCCGTCAGACTGCTCAATAGCTGAGCGCAGTGAAAGCAAAGGATGGAGTGTGTGCTGTGCTCTCTGCCTCCCCCTAGAGTGCAGTACCCGGATCTGTGAGTGAACAACGAAGTACTGCAACTTTTTATAGGGGTGTGTGTGTGTACATGTGTGTGTTTGTGTGTGTCTGTGTATGCATGTACATGTGTCTGTGTGTATCTGTACATGTGTCTGCGTGTATGTACATGTATGTGTGTGTGTACATGTGTCTGTGTGAGTGCGCATGTACGTACATGTGTTTGTGTATGCATGTACATGTGTCTATGTGTATGTACATGTGTCTGTGCGTGTGTATTTCTGTGTATGTACATGTATCTGTGTGTATGCGTGTCTGTACGTGCCTGTGTGTGTATACATGTGTCTGTATGTGTGTGTGTGTACATGTGTCTGTGCATGTGTGTACATGTTTCTGTGTGTATGTACATGTCTGTGTGTGTGTGCAGGTGTCTCTGTGTGTGTTTGTTGGTGGCGAGTAACTCTAAGGCCTAGTAGCTCAGGACTTGAAATTTTAAGCCCTGCTTTAAGGTATGCTTAGCCTTTTGAAAGCCACCCATTGAAGCCAAGTACAAGTCTTCCATTATTAGCGGAAGAAAGTTCCTGGAGAATAAAATTGCATTGTGCAAAATGGCTAGATGTCACGGATACATACAAAACAACAACCCCACAATCATTTGAGGCCAGAGGCTCTTAAAAATCCCAAAATATCCCCAAAGTCATTGAGGGCCAGTAGGATTCCGCAAAATAACCCGGCAATCATAAGTGGTCAGTGTCACTTTAAACTCCCACAAAACAATCCCACAATCATTGGTGGTCAGTGGCTCTTTACTTCCCCTCATAACAATCCCACAAACATTGGTCGTCAATGGGGTTGTCAATGGTACTTTAAACCCCTCTCTCCAAATAAATAGTCCTTCAATCATTGGTGGTCTGTGGCATTTTAACCTCACCCACCTCATAAAACTCAACAATCACAGGTAGTCAGTGGCACTTTCAAACCCCCAAAACAATCCCCCCATTGCTGATGGTCAGTGGCAGTTTAAACTCCCCCGACCATAAAAAAAAATCCACAATCATTGGTGATCAGTGATACTTTAAAAAATCCCAAAATAATCCCGCAATCAATGGTGGTCAGTGGCCCATTAATACCCAAGAAACTCCCTCAATCAATCCCTCAATCATTGATAATCAGTGGCACATTATCACCCTCAAACAATTCCACGGTCATTGGTAGTCCTTAAAAAACACCCCACCTTGAATCACAAGATTTTCTTTGCTGCCTTTCAAAACACCCCACCTTGAATCACAAGATTTTCTTTGCTGCCTTTCAAAACACCCCACCTTGAATCACAAGATTTTCTTTGCTGCCTTTGTCTTCTCCTTCCCTCGGGGAGCTATCCACAGTCTTCCCCTTCCTCTATTGTGATAAGAAAGGATAGCTTTCAAATGTAAATACAGGGAGTGTTTACATTTGTGATTGCTGTGCTTGGCCTTTTCAGTGATCACAAGGCACAGTGGCACTCTGACTGGCTCTGTGCATTTTACTCCAATACACGCTGTCTAATGACAAAACAATCACAGGCAGTGTGTGCATCCGGCAAAAGCATACACTCTGAAAACAAGAACAAGTATCCGTGCAGAGGTGCAGTGCCTCAGTTTGTTTAAATGTATTGTAAAGTCTTATTTTTTTAAAGTAACATACTGTATACAGTATGTTATATTTAGCAATGATATTGCACAGAGCGGCCCCGAACCCCCTCTTCTTTGTATGCCACCATAGCAAGTTGCTTCTCATGGTGGTGCATCTGCGGGCTTGCTCCTGATCCAGGCTGAGTGCATCTATTGACACACAGCACAGCTCATCCTCACCCTCTGTTCCCTCCTCACTGGACTTGATTGACAGCAGGAGGAGCCAATTGCTCCCGATGCTGCCTGCCAGCTGCTGTATGAAGAGGGCTGGGCACAGCACTGGATCAATTCCGGAGTCAGGTAAGAGTTTAGAGGAGGAGTGGGGTACAAGTTCTAAAATATTTCTTGCCTTAATACAGGGAATGCGATAAGGTAAAAAAAAGGTTTTGCTTTAGAACCACTTTAAAGCGGAGTTCCACTCATCCTGTCAAAAAATAAAAGTCAGCAGTTACAAAAACAGTAGCTGCTGACTTTTAAAAAAACAGCCACTTACCTGTTCCTTGGTCCCACGGTGTGTCCCCCGCAGCCCGTTTCACCGGCCGTCCTGTATTCCAGCAGGCCGGCATCTTCAGTGCGGGCTCCCGGCTGTGATAGCTTGCAACTTCACAGCC